AGAGGAGTGTGTGGTTCAGGAGACGCTTGGGCATTCAAATCAGTGGGCCTTGATTTGTGAGTGGCTGACTGTCAGGTGAGACAAAAGCATAAGGATGACTCGTGGGTTCCCAGCTTTTGGATCTGACCGCAGAGGTGCCGTTCTCCGGAGATAGCAGATGCTGGAAGAAGCTAGTTTGGCTGTAGATGTCATGAGTTCTCTTTGGGACTTGCTGAGTTTGAGGTGCCTCTGAGGACCCTGCGTGGCACAGTCAAGGTGGCAGGGAGACCCGCGGGTCTGCAGCTGACGTCAGAGGGCCGGGCTGCGACAGAAATGAGGGCGTCAGCGGGCTGTGTCGGTCATCAGAGTCGTGGGTTGGCCCAGAAGCCGGGCAGCTAAAGTGAGGAGGGAGGCGGCGCCCCGGGAGAGTGGTAGAAAGAGATCGTGTGGCGGAGTGGCCAGTGGCGTGGAGAAAGGCACTGAGGAGGAACATAACAGGTGAATAAACAAGCGGAGGAAGGGATGAATGCGACCTGGCCCGGGTGTGGAGGCAGGAATAACAGAACCAGGACCCAAGGCCTCCTCCTCTGTCCTCTGCCTTCCCTTCAAACCGTGCTGACTTTATTCTTGGAAGTAGGGAGTATTGTGTGTGTGCCTTTGCGCTGAGCTGTATCCCAGCCCTGTTTATTTTTCATTTTGAGACATAGTCTTGGTAAATTTGAATTTCCAGTCCTCCTGCCTCAGCCTCCCAAAGTACTAAGGTTACAGGTGTGCACCACTACACCCAGCTAAACAAGGCTGATTTTCATAACCAAAACCTTATAGTCAAGCTGAGCATGGAGGAGGCTGAGGCAGGAGTATTGTGGGTTTTTTTGTTTTGTTTTGTTTTTGTTTTTGAGGTAGGGTCGTGTATGTAGCCTAGGGTGGCCCTGAACTTGTGGTGATGTTCTTTCCTCAGCCTCCCGAGTGCGGGGACTACAGGTGTGTGCCACTGGCTTGAGGCAGGAATATTGTGAGTTTAAGGCCAGCCTGTACAATTTAGAGATGCTATCTCAAAAAAAAAAAAAGAGATGCTATCCTACCCCTGTGAACTTTGAGATTTCCTAAATGTCACAGACACTGCATCCCTCTGCCTTACATTTGAGCCACTCTGCAGTGTGACCTTGTCCCTCCACGCCTGCCTGTGTGGCCACCTCCCCATGGACTTACTCTCACCAGTTCGGTGCTCAGTTCTGGCAGGCCAGAGGGCTGGGGATGTAGCTCAGTGTGGGTCCCTAAATTCTGCACAAACAAAACAGAAACCTCTTAGGTTTGGAGATAGAACCCTCTTTTGGAAAGGTAGGGATTGGAAGGGAAGGCTTCGATTTACAGAGAGGACTGGGTTTTCCCATTGTAGTCAAATGGCCCCGCCAAAGCCTTGGAGCTGAGGGTGGGAGAAACGAGTTCAGGGAGCAGGAAGGATGCTCAGCTGACCCCTGCACCTTTGCGTCCGATCCTCCTCCTCCTCACTCTTTTGAACCTGTGCTGGCTCTTCCAGTTGTTCGCCACACACCCACATCGGTCCCTCTTTCACCCGCCACCTTCCACGGGCCTTCACCGTGTACGGTACCTGCGTCCCGTGACTGCCCCACCAGCTCTGTGGTGGCACTCGGGTTAAGCTGGAGCCTTTGGGCCAGGGGCGTCTAAGCTCCTTTCCTGCTCTACCCACATTCCTTTTTAAACAGTGCCTCTCCTGAGGCTGCAGCATTCATTCCTTAATGGTTCACTCATTCACTCCTCATTCATGTAGCCCGCGATTCCTCAGACTATGGGTCAAAACTAAAACTATGAAAAAGTGATGTTCAGGGGATGTACCTTAGTGCTAAGACCCTGGGCTCAGTTCCTAGCAGAGAGAGAGAGAGAGAGAGAGAGAGAGAGAGAGAGAGAGATAATAAAATGAGCACATTATGTAGGCTGTTAAAAGGCAACATCTGATATGAAAAGAAGTAAAGAGTGTAACAGGATGAGGAAGTTGTGAAGGTGTAGGTTTTAGTCCCGTGTGGTTACCAAATCTGACAGCCTTTTTCTAGACCACATCCTTCCATTATTTTTGCCACATTGCTGCCCACCCCTCTCAGACTCTGAGGCCAGACTCCACCCCCAGTCACCTGCACACGCAGTTTGACTTTGATGCCTCTCCTACCTCTGTGAACTTTGAGATTTCCTAAATGTCAGACACTGCATCCCTCTGCCTTGCCTTTGAGCCGCTCTGCAGTGTGACCTTGTCCCTCCACGCCTGCCTGTATGGCCACCTCCCCGTGGACTTGCGCTCACCAGGTCGGTGCTCAGTTCTGCCAGTTTAGTGCACTTTCCCAAGCAGCCCTGAGGGTGACTTACGCATCTGGGCTTCCCCCCCCACATTAGCCCTGTGTTAGACCTGGAGACATGAATTAACATTGGTCTTTGTCCTTAAGATGGCCACAGTCCAGTGTGGAAAAAGGGTTTCCAGCAGTCAGAAGATACTGTGGTAAGAGCTGTCTCAGGCGCATCCTCTCCCTTCACTGAGAACCTTCCCAGGCAAGACCTGCAGGATGAGAACCTGGGTTTCCCAGACAGTCAGAGAGAGGGGAGGAGCACTGTAGACGGAGGCTTCTCCATCCATCGCAGTCTGTCCCACGAGGGCATCATCTTCTCTGGCTTTGTATTCCCCATCTGCCTGGCAGGCCATTTGCCAAGATTAGATATTAGTGAGTGACATATAAATCACCTGAAGCTCAGAGAGCAGTCAAATTATGAGGCTCGACAGCTTAGATGAGGCCAGTGTTTGGAAGACTCATGCTTGGGAGAGAAGCCTGGCCTTGATCCAGCCAGAGGTAAGATGAGCAAGGCCAAACTGGGGAGAGACTTTCAAGGAAGACCTTGTCCTCCGCTTCATCCTGTGTCCACGGAGGTGCCAGTGCTCTACTCCCGGGGTCTGGAGATGGACCTCAGAGGCCTGTGCCTTTGTGTTGATACTGCAAAGACACGGGGCTCGTGACCGACCTGCCCGTACGCCCACTGGGGCCTGGACCTACATCTCTGCCGAGCCGTGCACGCCTGTGTTGCTTCTCTGCTGCATTCAAGCGGAAGTGGCATGCACTAGAGCGAGTGTGTAAACGCAGTGTGAGGCAGAGAGGATCATTGTGTTTTAAGAGAAAGATAATTTACTTAAAAGCCAAACTCCTGGGTTCCTTGTTCATTGAGCACATTCTAGAATTTCTGTAGTAAAGCTAAAGTTTTGAAAATGCTTCCAGTTCTGAAAACTAAGAATACAGAAAAGAGCTGGGGGAGAGGCACACCCTCATCCATCAGTGTAACTCAAACCACATGACCCAGTCTCTCGAAGGCTCAGTTTCCTCATCTGTGAAACGGTAATAAAGACTACTGGGAGACTGTTGTGTGGGCATAAGGGACTTAGCAGGAAGCGACACAGAGTACACTCCTCAGATGTACGCATTAAAAAAAGGTTAGGTCTGGGCCTGGCTGACCTGCGAGTCATTGTCACGGTACAAAGCAGCCTCGAGACTGAGCGTGGAAGAGCACTGAGAGGGCAAGAGATGGGGCTCAGGCCGTTCAGGAGAAGGGGCAGAGGCAGTGAAGGAACCCAAACCCAGGGTTCAAGGCAGGAGAAAGGTGTCAAGTCCCAGAGCCGGAGGAGGACAGGACCTAGGAAGAGGGACCAGGGCAGCACTGTCTCCAAGGCTGAGGGCTGGTGGAAAGGGGTGGAACAGGTGCCGTGAGTTTGGGCAGAGCTGAGGGCTGGAGCACCTCCCCCATCTTCACCAGTGCCGTGCTTGTGCCTTCCAGGGGTCGACGTGATTAACGGGGCCCTGGAGTCAGTCCTGTCCTCCAGCAGCCGTGAGCAGTGGACCCCAAGTCATGTCAGCGTGGCTCCTGCCACCCTCACCATCCTGCACCAGCAGGTAAAGAGCTGGGGTGGAAGGCCTGGTTGTGTCTCACGGTGGAGGGGAATCCAGGGGCAACGGGAAGAGCTCCCAGTAAACGGCACGTGCCCCAGTGGAACACAGGGCCGGGCAGTGTTCCTAACTGGGCTCGTTCCTCCAGACAGAGGCAGTGCTGGGGGAGTGTCGGGTGCGCTTCCTCTCCTTCTTGGCCGTGGGCAGGGATGTCCACACGTTTGCATTCATCATGGCTGCCGGCCCAGCCTCCTTCTGCTGCCACATGTTCTGGTGTGAGCCCAACGCCGCCAGCCTCTCGGAGGCCGTGCAGGCTGCGTGCATGGTAAGCAGGTAGGGCGGGGGGTGGGGGTGGCATGACCTCGCGTGGGGCAGGGTGGAGAGTGACTGCCCCATCTGCCTCTCCAGCTCCGCTACCAGAAGTGTCTGGATGCCCGCTCCCAGACCTCCACCTCCTGCCTCCCAGCACCCCCTGCGGAGTCTGTAGCCAGGCGTGTAGGGTGGACGGTGCGCAGGGGTGTTCAGTCGCTCTGGGGCTCCCTCAAGCCCAAACGTCTGGGGGCTCAGACCCCATGAAGAAGCCCCTTCATCCCCCACTTGCTTGTGTAGGGCCCCCGGGAACTCAGGGGTGTGGGGCAGGAAGGGGCCCTGATGCTGTTCCCAGGCCTCGGGTCCCCCAAGCTGCCCCTCCTCAGGAGCTGAGGGTCCCTGCCTAGGGGGCCGGAGGGGAGAGCTGGTCCCATCCAGGAAGCAGCAGCACTGGATTAAGGACGAGCCTGCCCCGGGCTCTCCATCCCCATGTTGGAGGTGGAGCAGGAGGAACTGGCCCAGGCCAGGCCCCGTCCTCAGGAGGCCCAGGAGGGTCAGAAGGAGGATGGGACAAGTGTGGGCATGGGTCCCCTCTCCCCTGCGCTGCGGGTACCTCCGCTGTACTGGTATCACTAATAAAGCCTGTCTGCGCTGCTGTGTGCCTCCTTGTGCCCGCACCACACCAGGCCCCTTGCCAGCCCCTGCATGAGGATCTTACTCCCAAGGTGCCTTTGCCCTGCCGCTGGGGAGGAAGAAACGGACCGTCATCGAGGGGTCTGCAGTCCAAGTCTCTCATCTTTATTTCATCAGCCTGGCAGGCCAGGTAGCAGCAGCACTGACCTCAGGCGACAGCTCCTATCTGGCTGCCCCGGGCACTTCCGCCTCTGTTCATGGCTGTGAGAAGACAGTCTGGGTCCTGGGCGCGTACACAGCAGCCAAGCCCTCTCCCAGAGGCGGCCAGGCTGGCCCCAGGAAGAAGGTCCTGTTCGCGGCACTTTTGGGGCCCCAGGATAGGCGCTCCCACAGGATGTGCCTGCCAGGATGAACGGCAGCAGCACGCTGGGCTTTCGCAGCTTTCCTAAGACAAGAGCTTTCCCGACTATGGGCCCTGAGGTCCTAGCAGAACAGGGGCCTGGGCGCCCAGCGCTGAACCTCTGGGAGAGACTCCTTCCGCACCAGGTGGCGGCAGAGAGCAGGGCTGTCCGCGCGGGCGGAGAGCTGCGCGCACAGAGTGGCGAGGCGGCAGGGCGTGCCGCAGGGCTCCGAGGGCGGGTGGCCTTTATGGTAGAGAAACCAGAAGGTCTGGAAGAGCTGCGTGTCGTCCCGCATGCGGTACACCAGGTTGTGCCAGGCGGCAGGCAGCGCGTTGGGCAGCCCGTACGTTTCCCGAGCCCGGTAGAGGAGCTTCCAGGTCGGCGTGGCCCCCGGCGCGTTCGCCTGCGTCAGGTTCAGGATGTAGGTCTCGTGGTCCAGGACCACGTGGGAGCTCCCGGGGTAGTTTCCGTCGATTTGGTAGACCCGGTAACCTGCGAGGAAGGAAGGCCCACTGGAGGGAAAAGCAACAAAGGCAACTCCAGGCGGGGCCGCGGACCCCACCCCCTTCAGTCCAGCCACCCCAGGTGAGGGGGACTCTTCCACCCCACTCACCAGGGTTAAGGCCAATGTAGGTGGTGGCGCTGGGTGCCAGGAACGCTACAGACAGAGGCCGGCTCAGAGTCTCTTCGTCGTAGAAGACCTCAAACTCATCCACGTGTGTGTGGCCAAAGAACTGACCAGCCAGGATGTTCTCGTACCTAAGCCAGGAGACACGCACTATAGTCAGAACACGGGGGCAGAGACCTGCGGAATTTCCCTCTCCACCTTCTCCCCAACCTTCAGCACCCCGGCGGCAGTAAGATGCTCAAGAGAACTTCAGCCTTTGGGCTGTTCACCCCCTCTTCCGCTCCGTCACCTTCTCCCTCTTACCGGGACACAATGCGGTAATAATTCCAGCTCCAGCTCTTCAGGCAGTGCCCCGGGGGGATGTGGCCGATTATATGCACCTGGGGGAAGTTGAGGGTGTTACCAGGGCATCACAGGGTCAAGAGAGTGCTGGCCATAAGGGAAGGGGTGATTGCAAGGCCTTCTTAGGGTGACCATGAACCAAACCCCCAGGGCTGTTGGAGCACCAAAGAATGAAGCTTCTGTGCTCCCAGGTGCTCCAGCTTGGCAGAAGCCTGCTTCTCCCCCAGCCCTGGCAGCACCCACTCTACCAGGTTCGCACCACCGCCCCTCACTTTGTCTCCTCGGTCCTCAGCAGCCTGAAGCTCCCCTACGAGCCACTGGAGCTGTCCAGCAGGGTCTGTGGAGTTGATCAAGAGCCAGAAGTTCTCACGGGAGCAAAAATTCATATTGAGAGAGATGAGGCGGAGGCCAGGGCGTGGGGAAAGGGCATAGAACCCCCCGATCCTGAAACAAAGTGCACAAGTGTGGGGGGGTCAACATTTGTTTGTAATCCTGGTCCTGCATGCCCAGTCCTGTGCCAGGCAGACAGATACATGATGTCATCCTCACATTTGAGGAGCTCACATCCTAGCTGAAGACCAAACAGCACTAATTATGGGGCCTGTAAAGCAGGGAAAGACGGCTCAGAGGGTTGAGGCCTCCAAGATCTCAGGGGAAAAGTAAACGTGAGCTAGAGGCGGACGTAGAAGCCTTGAGGAGTTTCTGAGGGAAGATGACCTGGGCTCGGGTATGTTGGAGAAGGTAGGGGAGTTGCTTCAGAGGTCGCCAGCAGCATATGGGGCGTGGAGGTTATGCTGCCAGCTGTCTGAAGGAGCAAGGTGGGGAGATAAGGGTATCACAGAAGGTGGAGTCAGGGAGCGCCAGAGAGGAGCTGAGGACTCAGGCTCGGAGTCAGAGATAATACACAAGTTCCCTCCCTCCGCTTTCAGCCACCCTTCCGTTCCCTTCCCCAGCCTCCGAGGACTTTAATGAAATACCTGAGGGTTTGCAGGGCTTCAGCGGGCAGCCAGGGCTCCCATGTCTTGGCCATGGCCTCGTACAGCCAGTTTGAGGACTGGTTGCCCTGGATGAAGGGGGGAGGGAAGCTGTTGACGGGAGTGCTCTCATGGTTGCCCACGGCAGGGTAGACGGGCACCGGCCCGAGGAACTTCTTCACGAGGTCGGTGATGGTGTTCAGGGCCCGCAGCTGATCCTGGCGGGACTGTTGCCAGACATCGTGGGCTGGGATGTCCCCTGTCCAGTACACCATATCAAAAGGGCCAGCTGGGCCCAGCCCACTCAACATGCTCTCCAGGGTCCGCAGGGGCAGGTCACACTTGCTGTACTCGCCCCAGTATCCAGCCCCTGGCTTCGAGGTGGGAGGCTGGCCAGAGCCCCGGCGGCAGCACAGCGGGTCCACACAGTTAGGGTCTGTGCCCTCCAGGTAGTCATGATCCCAGTGTAGGTCCGTGAGGAAGAGGATGCGGCTGACGGGGGCACCCGGGGCTGGTGGGCTGGGTGGCTTGGGGGGTGGCTTTGGCACTGCCGGCAAAGAGATATTCCAAGATGAGAAGATGTCCCAGTGCCCACAAGTGGAGCCCAGGAGCAAGCCACAGGCCTCGGATGGGCTTAGCACTGAGCGTGTCCACACGTCCACCATGTCTTTCTCAAAGAGACGGATGGCTGACTGGCACACGTTGGGGGGTGCTATCTTCAGCAGCTTGCACACCCAGGTGGCCATGGAGCCCAGCCGCTCCACATTCGGCTCCTTCTGTGGTGGGAGGCGCCAGAGAGAGGTCAGAGATGATAGGGGACCAGGCCACCCCTACAACCACCCACCGGGCCTCCCTCCACCGGGCTGGGCTGGACCCGCTGCCACCAGGACAGAGAGACCGCAGTGCCTCCTGCACAGAGCCCTGTGACTCAGGCCACAGCGTCCATCCTTTACTTCCTCCTTAACTCCGGCCAACAGAGGAAGCTGGCTTTCCCAGGCACTGTCTGAGCCTTTCCCTCACTTTGCAGAGGTCACAGTGAGTAGCGGTGGCATCAGGGATACCCAAAGGGGAGCAAACTCCCTAAAGCAGTGCACCCGGGATGCATTCGAGCCCAGCACCCCACCTTAGTCCTGGCCCGCACCCCAGCCCCCAGCCTTACCCCGCAGTTCACAGCCGCTCACCTTCAGCCCGAAGTCGATGGCGGTAAACAGGGCTTTGCAGACGGGGCAAGTGAGGTTCCACCACCCAAAGGCCTCCAGGAGCCGGGGCACCGGGTCGCTGAACCCGGCGGGGAAGTTCTGGGCAGGAAGAGGATGAGCTCTGACCAGGGAGCCGGGCAGAACCAGCACCAGCATCAGGCCCAGGCCGATCCACAGGCGTCGCAGACTGGGGGCCCCGGGGGGTCTCCCCAGGCCCTGCTCCCAGCCGGACCCGCGGTGGCCGTGGGCCGGGGACAGTCCGTGGCGGGGCATCGCCAGGCTTCCCGGACAGGGTGGGTTCGCCCCTCCGGTCCGCACCGGCCGAGGCCCTGGCTGGCCCTCAGGGCCGGGTGCGCTGGGGACACCCGATCACCCTGCGCTGAGGTCGGCCGCCGGCTCAGCAGTCAGCCGCACAGCAGCTCCGCCCCTTCCTGTCGGTCCAACCCGGCAGCTGATCGCGCGCGGCGGGCGGAGCCCTGTCAACACGGCTGCGGAGGCGGGGTCCCGGGGCCGTCACGGCCCTCGACCCCGCCCTGCCCCGCCCTTGTCACACGGGGTGGCGCGGGGTGAGTGGGGACCCCCAGAGGCCGCGCGCCTGCTCCGAGCACCACGGACCGGGAGGCTGAGAGCGGCCCCCCCGGGGTCCCCTGCTGTCCGGTGCTGCCTCCGCCCTGGCGCCGCACCCTGGAGTCACCTTTGACTCTGAATTCTCCGCACGGAAGGACCTGGCTCACCTGGGGACACCCTTGTATATTATGGACGAGGAGGGTGTGAGGCTCGGGGCTGGGGAGGAAACGGAGAGACCAGGAACAGGCCGAGGATCTCCCACCGCCCGGTGTAGCCACCCACCATGGTAGAAGCTACATTTTTCGGAGGTTTGCTTTTTCTTCTTGTTTTCACTTTCGGTACTGGGGATTGAACCCAGGGCCTTCACGCTGAACTACATCCCCAGTCCTTTTTGTTTATTGTTTTATTATGAGACTGTCTCTCCTAAATTGCCGGGTTTGGCTCAAATCTGAAATCATCAGCCTTGCAGAGCGTGTGGATTACCGGCATGCAAGCACGGTGCCCTGCTTCCTTTTTTATTTGTCTGTTTGTTTGTTTATTTGTTTGAATCGGGATCTGGCCATGTAGTTCAGGCTGGCCTGGCCTTGACCTAACTCAATGGCCCAGGCTGGTCCTGAACTTGGGGCCATCCTCCTGCGTTTCTTCAGGGCCCTACAACTTCCCCGGGAGGGTATTTATGTTTAAGTTGAAGAAGTTATTTATGACTGGGTCTGGTGGCCACGCCTGTAATCCCAGTACTGGAGAGGCTGAGGCAGGAGTATCCTTGTGAGTTCAAGACCAACCTGGGCTACAAAGTGAGCTCAAGGCCAGCCTGAACTGCATAGCCAGACCCTGTCTCAAAAAGACAAAAAGAAAAGTTATTTATGTTTAAGAGGGTATGTATTTATTTATTTTTTGGTATTTATGTATAACAACAAAATTTATGGCAGTTCTCAATTCTCAGAAGTTTCTTTTAGTCAAATAAGGGAAGCTCGGGGGGCTTGCGGGGGACCTCTATTGAATCTGAAAGTTTTAAGCTTAAAGCAATGTTTATATCAACTCTGGAGTTTTGAGTGTGGTCATATATATGGTGTTTTGTATTGTCTTTCGGGACTGGGGAATCAAAGCAAAGGCTGAAACACACTAGGCAAGCGCTTTACCGCTGAGCTATGTCCTCAGCCCTTTTTAACCTTTTTAAATTTTGAAACTAGGTCTTGCTTAGTTGCTCAGGCTGACCTCCAACTTTTTTTTTTCCTTTTTATTAATATATGTTTATGGTCCGGGATGATGACATTCATAGTGGAGAACTGGTACAGGTACACAACTCGTCTCAATTATTTGTTGCCCTTCCCCCCTCCCTTTTTTTGCCAGTATCAGATTCGTTTATTTTATAAGCCTTCATAAAGTTAACGATTGGGCATGGTGTTGCACACCTGTAATCCTAGCACTCAGGAGGCTGAGGCAGGAGGATTGCTATGAGTTCAAGACCAGCCTGGGCTACAAAGTGAGTTCAAGGCCAGCCTAAATTGCATAGTGAGACCCTGTCTCAAAAAGACAAAAATAAAATAAACTTAAAATAAAGTTAATGATCATGCATACAGAGTAACAGCCAGACTAACAGACCAAAAAACATATAAGACATCTAAGAAAATTATATTAAATCAGCTGGGCATGGTAGAACATGCCTCTAATCCCAGCACTTGGGAGGCTGAGGCAGGAGGATCGTTGCAAGTTCAAGACCAGCCTGGGCTACAAAGTGAACTCAAGGCCAGCCTGAACTGCATAGTGAGACCCTGTCTGAAAAAAAAAAAGTCAAGGTGCACTTTTAGGTACATTGTTCGTGCTGGATTATAATAACTTTTTTTCTCTCTTTTTTCCTCTCATCTCTCTTTTACTTTACACTTTGTTTAGATAGACTGAGTTTTTCATGTAAGAGAAACATGTGATATTTAAGCTGGTTTGTTCAATTTACTCCCTTAACATTATGGTCTCGATATAGGAGAAGCGCAGCTCCCCACCTGTTAGATGTCAACCGAGGTCATGTTCTCACAACATCCAGGAATGAAGTGGCAAGCCAGAAAGAAGCTCGGAGAGTTTAATTGGATATGAGGAGAGAAGAGCACCTCCTGGGTTTTCAGAAGGGGTCCAGAGGAGGGTTGCTGCCGAGGCCCTTTGTCAGGGGTGACTTGTACAGCAAAGTCACAATGTGGGTGCAGTGTGGGTCAAACTACAATCAACCTCTAGGGCTACAAGTATAGCTGCTTAACTCATATTGATTCAGTGGAGAAATGAGACAGGTAGGAAAGGTACAGGATAAGAACATTTGGGGAAGGGATGGGTCCGGATGCTCTGGTCACCCACCTGGGTGACTGATGCCCCTCTGGACTTCCTGGGCCAGGTGCTGCTAATTATAGTATGATTCCAAGTTACTGCTTATGCCTTAGGGAGGCACGTAGGTCTGGCCATTGCATCTCTACCTTGAGGCCTGGTCTTCTTCAGATGCACCTCCAGCCGCTATTCTCCTGTCTGTATTTTTGTGCTGACTTCCTTGAGAGCCCAGTCCCCATCTCACTGTACATTAATTTCTATCTAACTCAGCTGCCTATAACAGCCGCAAGGTGCATCCATTTTCTTACAAACGACTTGAGTTTATCTAGAGTATTCGTTAGGGCAGAGTAGTACTCCACTGTGTATAAATAGATTTGTTTCACCTCCAACTTTTGGTCATCTTGGATAACAAATGAGCACCACCACACCCTGCTTATGTCCTAGTTTCTGAATCTGAAAATTCAACCAACGCCAGATCAGAAATATTGGGAGGGAGTATCTGCATTGAACCTATAGTTTTTTTTTCTTTTCATGATTCTTTAAACAACACAGTACAACAACTATTTACAAAGCAATTATGTATATTAGGGACTGTAAGTAATCTACAGGTGATTTAAAGTACACAAAAGGAAGCAGAAAGCCAGGTGTGGTGGCACACACCTATAATCCCAGCACTTGGGAGGCTGAGGCAGGAGGATCGCTGCAAGTCCAAAACCAGGCTGGGCTACATAGTGAGTTCAAGGCCACCCTGAACTACACAGAGACCCTGTCTCAAAAAACAAGACAAAAGAAGACAGAAAAGCCAGTAAATCTTGCCTTTGTTCTCTTAAAAAGCCTGTTTGTGTTTCCTAAAGAAATTGACTTTCCTTAGAATCCTTTCCCCTACACAACTAATTTAGGTGCATAAGCCTTTTACGTTAACTGTTTGATAAGCCAGTTCCTTCTTTTATTGGCTCCTTATGCACACAAACAATCCCTTTCTCTCGGAAAGCTACCTGAGACTCTAACTCACCTGCCTTGGGCAATGAACCTAAGCGGGGAGAGGAAGGTTTTCCCTTTGGCTAGCTCCTTCTTTGTCTTAACTGTCTGTATGGACCTATGCCTGGGTCTCTGAGGATTAGGATTTTGGCAGAAGCATAGGGCAGGGAAGAAAGGGCCTGGTGCGCTTGCTCTGAAGCGCAGTCTCCTCTTTCCCACCTCCCTGCCGGGGGTTTCCAGTAGCCTGGGCTCCGCCACTGTTACTGCTCTGCACCTCTGTCTGTATGTAGGAGGACACGGATGACTTCCTAGTGTAAATCTATTTGTTCCTCAGTGCCGTGGCACATACCTGAGCTCCTTAGTAACACCTTTCTGATCACTCCCTTCTTATTTCCTTAGTCCTCTTCCTTTTTTTTTTTTCTTTTTGAGACAGGATCTTCCTACATAGTCAAGGCTGGGCTTGAATTTACTTTATACCCTGGCTGACCCTGAACTCAGGATCATCTTGCCTCAGCCTTCTGCATGCTGGGGTTACAGGTGCATGCCACACTGTTGCTTATTTGCTTGTTTCTTGTCTTTTGTGTTTTTTTTTTGAGAGAGGACCTTGTCATGTAGTTCAGACTAGCCTCGAACTCACTACCTGCATCCCAGGCTGGCCTTGCACTCAGCCTCCTGGGTGGTGGGATTACAGGCGTGCGCCACCACACCTGGCTTCCACCTTGCTGCTCTGATAGAACCAAGTGCCTGCAGTGTATCCCCTGCTCCTTCCCTACGAGATGAGTGTTCAGATCTGGCCTGGATGCCGCTGTCCTCCATCACTCCGGTTGTGAGACAGAGATTCATGTTCAAGGGTGTGGTGCCACACAAATTCGACGCGAATTCGAGGCCAGCCTGAACTACATAGTGGGACCCTGATAAATAAACACACTTATCCTAAAGTGCCCCTGGAATGAATGTGGAAGAAAAGGGAAGGGACTGTGAAAGCAAGAGGGAGACTGTGACAAAAGCAACACCCAAAGAGCTTTTCAAAACCAGTCAGAGAAGCTGGGCGTGGTGGCTCATACCTGTAATCCCAGCACTCGGGAGGCTGAGGTAGGACAGTTGCGGGTTCGAGACCAGCCTCAGCTACAAAGTGAGCTCAAGGCCAATCTAAACTTCATAGTGAGACCCTGTCTCAAAAAACAAACAAAAAAACCAAACAACAACGAAAAGGCAAACAATAAAAAAAAATAAACAAAACCAGTCAGAGAGGCAGGACTTGTATACCATTCTAGCTGCTGCTAAGACCGTGAACCTTGGTCACCTCCATCACTTGGGGCAGTATCCTGGAGGCCGGAACAACTGGACAGTTATGTTTTACTCAGGCTCAAGGTGCACGATGAAAGGCTGCTGGACTCTTGCTCAGTGGGCACTGCGGTCTGTTCATCTGTTCTTTTCTTTATCTCCCATCAGTCATGTGTCTCATTTCTCAACCTGCAGTGGCTCATATAATCACTATTTTCCTGGGGACACCAATGCAGAGCTGCCTGAATCTGCGCCTTCTAAAATGCAACTACAAACCAGGTGTAATGGTGCACGCCTGTAATCCCAGCCCTCGGGAGGCTGAGGCAGGAGCATCGTTGTGAGGTCGAGGCCAGCCTGGGCTACAAAGTGAGCTCAAGGCCAGCCTGAACTGCATAGTGAGACCCTGTCTCAAAAAGACTAAATAAATAAATAAATAAAATGCAACTCCCAGGACCCCAAATAATGTCCTTTTTACTTCTGTCATTTCTGAGTTTAATTTATTTATTTTTGTTTTTCCCCACAGGGTCTCACTATGTAGCCCAGGCTGACCTCAAATTCCACGGTAATCCTCTTGCTTCAGCCTCCTGAGGGCTGGGATTACAGGCGTGCGCCACCACCCCTGGCTGTTTCTGAGTTTAGAGGGATCACAGAGGCAGAACTGGGCAGGGACCACGGGGTAGGGAGAGAACCCTGTGGGTTCTCGGTTGCTTCACAGAGGCCTCATCTGACTCAGAATTCT